TCACTCACATATAAGAATTACAATATTGTAATTAAATGCGATGGCCAGTTACTAGCAATCCCTTAATGAGATTTTGTGAATTCATTTTTCTTATAGGACTAATACGACACATGCTGAAAGTTAATTCATATTTGAAATCGTTTTTTGTAAAGCAGTCAGGTTTGTTATAGGTTTTTTTACATAACTACCTAAGGCACATTTTGCACATAAGTTGCCATCGAAATAGTAATGTTTTGAATTAAATCGTTTTTAAATAAAAAGTTACAAATTCGGTCAATGGTTAAAATGGATGGTCCTAAATGACCTAAAAGCCACCTAAAGTGTTACAATTATTAATACTTGCATCTCCAACAATGAATTGAATTCCGCTTAGTCACACTTCGCTTAGAAGCTGTTTCATCATAGATAGACTGCAGATTCTACCTCATAAAATCTCGCTAGTTTCCCTGAAAATATTTGAAATCCGATCTTGTTCATAGACAAACACATGGCCTCGGATGTCTATGAGTCACAAGGCAGAATTAACTTTCAAAAGATGCTATTAAGGATTAAAGAGATTGAATATACAGTTTACACTAAATGAGGAGTCGTTTGGGAGGCAGGTCCAAGCAAAATAAAATAGTATTTATGGCTTTTTATTCATTTAATTACGGTTGAGAAAATAGCTTCCATAAAGAAAATGGAGATAGTCATAATATTGGGTTATAATGGTGACACTGTAGTCAACTTATAAAAAATTCCCAAATTATCTATCCTATATTAACATAAAGTTGGCAATCTACCTGGTATGTATAGACTTGTTTTGAAGACAGAGTTGTTGTTCATCAAAAAAAAACTTCTCCCAAACTAGTACAACTTTTAAAAATCTGTAGTAAATCGCATAGCATAACACATTTATCTCCACTCACAGGTTCAGCACATTACCAGCCAACATTCTCTATCTGTTCTCCCGGTCACGTTTGTCAATTTGGTGGCCGCTGTCCAAGAAGAAACCCAATTCGAAATGCCTACTTTTCTCAAGGATCCTCAGGCAAGGATGTGCTGGACGTTGGCTCATCAATGGACAGCAATGTTTATAATTGGCCAAGCCTACTTCTGCCGAGGCTAGATGGGCAATTTGACGAAATGACAGAGGAAAGTAAGGATAGATCCAATCTTAGGCTTGATCTGCCTGGCTGCAACTGTGCTCATCTCGACTGCCTTAACGCCTGGCCAGAAACAATATGTGCTAGTGATGGGTTGACCTACTCTAACTCCTGTTTTATGCAGAGAGCAGCTTGTCAACAGCAGAGAGAATTGCGTCTGCTTTATCGTGGGAACTGTCGTAAGTGAAATTTTTAATAGATGCTTTTTTTATTATTTTGTACCGTATTAAGAATAATTTTGGAGTGTTGATCATGCCATCGGAAAAAATGCCTATTTCCTAATGCCAGCTAAATTTAATTATGTACTACACAATTATGTATTAATCTAATAAGTGGGCGAATTTGTATATGATCCAATATTGCTCTGGTGTAAAACAAAGGAAAGTAATATAAGATAGGAGATGGTACATACTCAAAGGTACTAGTAAAAGGTTTGTAAAACTTGTTTGAAATTAATTAAGGGAGCAAACTACTCGTACTTGATTCTACTCCTATTGTTTTGCCAACTAACTGATAAT